CACACCCGGCACCGAGTGGACTACGCACGTGACCGGACAGACCATGGAGAGGTCTACCTATCACGGGGTCCCCGGTTACTATGCACACGGAGTGACAAACCACCCTGCGGTCGGCCAACATGGGTTCGGCACCACGGGGTCGGCCGGCACACCAGGGGTCGGCTTACGCGGGGTCGACCACCCCGAGGTCGGCCTGACGTGAGGTCGGCTCGCCGTCGAGCCGACCTCCACGGGCTCGGTCGAGCCCATGACCGGCACCATGGCCGAGCTCCGCGCTCGGCCAAGGACCGGGTCCTCGCGTGGAGCGAGTCCCGCGGCTCCTCCCGCGCGACTCGGGCCCAGTCCGGCCGGGGGGGTATAAAAACACCCCCCGGTGTCCTATTCAAGCATCTTATACTTTTCCTACAACACTTGTATCGTTATTACACGTCCCGAACCTCTGTAATAGCATTACACGTCCAATTAATATAATATTTCTACCCCTATTGTCATTTATTATTTATTTACTATATTCAAACATATATTGGGGTTGTATAATCCGGACCCCCGGGTTCATATAATCCATCAGTATGGTTGGAATCCCAAGGCTGAGATGCAAGAATTTGGATTTCAAATCTGAGTATATTTTAAAATATGGATATGTGTAAAATGGGTAGATTGAGCTAAGAAGCTTGGGCTTTGAATCTTTGATAGTTGGGTTATTGTGCTCATGAAAATCAGGTTCATTATTTAAATGGTATGAACTTAGGACTTTATGATAGTTATAAAATGATTTCAGTAGGCTAGTCTCAAATAGATTTTGCATTTCATAATATAACACTAGGCTATAGTAATTATGGGTCATATAACGAAATAACATATTCAAATGTCATAGTAAATATTATGATAAGGGTATTCACGATAAAATATTCATAGGTAAAAATGATTTTATTTGAAAATATTTATATTAAAATAATATTGATTTAAAATAGCGGGGTATTATAGTGGAATCTTTGCTCGAACGGTTGCCAAATTTCAAACTAGAAGTGCATTGACAATGTTGTACACACATTCATTAACATAAGAACACAAGAGCATCTCACAAAAACAAAAACCCTAGGTTGGGTTTTAAACCCTCTTATGCAATAGATATTAAATAGGCATAACATCTAATGTAAACCTCAATCCAATCCCTACACAAAACTACTCACTCATCATATAGGTAAATAACACACGAATATCAAAGGTAACAAACATCAAACAACAAATGAAGATAAACACTAATATGAACTTGCAACAAAGTAAAGATTTAAAATCAAAGAGATTAAACTCAAGTATAACAATCCAAGCTAAAGATAACAATATTAAAGCTAGGGAATGGAAAATCCAAGGAGAAATGAAAATAACCTAAACTAGAGATACTCTATTGCTGCCTCTTTCGATGTTCACGCTTTGCCTCCGTCTTCTTCTAAATCAGGAAAAAGATCTATTTATAGTGCATAATTAAGATTTCGGTGCACTGGCACCGCACGGGTGTGTCATTGCCCGTGCAGGTGCACTGGCAAAGCATGGGCATGGAGTGCCCGTCCGCGAGGCCACCTCGACTATTGATAATGCACAGGCAATGCACTGACGTGCCATCGCTCGTGCACACGTTTGCCTCCACGCCACAATCTTCAACATGCTCATTTTCCCTGTCTTTTTTATAGTCTGCTTCTATGTGTTCCTTTTCCTTCATTTTCAACATTTTTTTTTGCTCCGTTTTGGTTGACTTTTGCTTCATTTTGTTTTTTCTTCCCTCAAATGTGCATTTCGGTGAAAATGAGCATAAAACATATCTTTTAGCTTAGAAACCCAATAAAACATATTGAAATGTGCACAAAAGGGATTTAAAATGGGGTAAAATATAGTACAAATTAAGAGTCATCACCGTACCAATTGTGGTTTGTTTATCGCAATGCACAAAACTCAGAGGTACATGTTCTCCCAATTAGGAATGCCCTCGAGAAAATGGCATAGCCATTCAACTTCTTCACGACACTTGTCCAAGGTTATCAGCTCAAATTCTATCGTGGATCTAGTTATCACGGTTTGTTCCGAGGAATTTTCAAAGAGACGGCTGCACTAGCTAACGTGAACACGTAGCCACTCATGGACATAGAGTCCTTAAGGTTTGATATCTAGTTAACGTCAATATACCTTTCAAGTACAACAAGATATCTTGCGTAGTGCAGTTCAAGGTCATGAGTATACCTTATGTATCTCATAATTCTTACTATTACCTTCCAATGTTTATCATTGGGGTTACTCATATAGTCATATGTCTAATTCATACTAAAAAAAATAGTCATATGTCTACTAAGTTTGCTAACCGCAAAGGTAATATCTGGTCCAATACAACTCATTAGATATATTAAACTACCAAAAATCTGAGCATATTCTACTTGAGAAATACAATCTCTGTGATTTTTGGATAAATATACGTTAGTATCTAACGGTGTCATTGCCACTTGATTATCATCCTTGTTGATTTTTCCAAGAATTTTATCAATATAATGATATTGGCTTAACACAAGACCATATGGTCTTCTAATGATTTTAATCCCAAAGATTAAATTCACCATACTCATGCCCTTAATGTCAAATCTCGAATTTAACATGTTCTTGGTAGATTTGATCATTTGAAAAGATTAAATTCAACAAAACCATGTCCTTAATGTCAAATCTCCAATTTAATATGTTCTTGATAGATTTGATCATTTGATCGTTACTATCCAGGATAAGTAAATCATCCATGTAGATTAAGGATGTCATAACTATCTATCGTTCCATTAACGTAAACACACTTCTCACATTCGTTTATATTAAATCCATTAGTCATCATTTCATGATCAAACTTCACGTGTCATTGCTAAGACTACTGTTTCATACCATACGACTTTACCAATTTACACACCTTCTTTCCATGGCTTGGAACCACAAAACCTTTAGGTTGTTCTTTATAGATTTCTTAAATCTTAATATAACTTGCCATTTAATAAAGCTTTTTTCGCGTCCAATTTGATGAACTTCTAAATCTCAGTGCGACTATGACAAATATCATTCTAATGTATTTTATTCTTATCACAAGAGAAATACGTATCGAGGCCACCAATTTTTTTCACCCAAACACATCAAAGTCATGCACAAATACGCAAACCTAGTTTAGATTCTCAATAAAATAACCCGATCCCCGCAATTAGCTCTTCCCTCTTGCTTTTCTTGGATAGATGGATAATCTTGACCCAAGATTTCTTACAAATTGACGCACTTGATCTCGCCCTGGGTAATTGCTATTCTTCAAATGGAAGTCGATGGATTTTCGGTGAGCTAGAGGGAAGTCAATGGATTTGGAAATTTAGGTTTAGAGTTATGTTTTTACTTTGATTTTTAATTGGAATAAATATTTTTTAATTGGAATAAGGTTCAAATTGGCCACTGAACGTAACCTGAAAATGCAATTAGGCCACTGAACGAACAAAAAGTGCAATTAGGTCATTGAACACTCCAAAAACGTGCAATTAGGCCATTGAACTCTCCAAACGTATGCAATTTCACCGGATAACAGGTTACCATCAATTTTAGCAGGTTACCTGCTTACGTGGCAGCTGAGTTGACATTTTTAATAATTTTTAATAATTAATTTTAATAATAAATTTTATAAAAAATTGAAAAAAATTAAATAAAAAATAAAATAAGAAGTCTTTTTTATTTTTTTAAATTTTTTTTAAATAAAAATTTATTATTAAAATTTATTTAAAATGATTTAAAATTTATTAAAAATGCCAACTCAGCTACCACGTAAGCAGATAACCTGCTAAAATTGAGGGTAACCTGCTATCAGGTGAAATTGCACATTTTTGGAGTGTTCAGTGACCTAATTGCATTTTTTTTTCATTCAGTGGCCTAATTACATTTTCAGGTTACGTTCAGTGGCCAATTTGAACCTTATTCCTTTTTAATTTTATTTTGATTTTTTGGTTTTTACTTTACATACGTGACGAATCAGATGACTAATGCTAAGGACACATAAGGGCTACGTAGGAGGTTATCATTTACTAGAGATTAATCGATTCTTGGTCTGGTTGCATGAAAATTACAAATTGATGCATCTAATTACTACTTTTAAAAATTGAAAGGCTTACTTATATTTTTAGAAAAATAGCACTTTTTCCGCCCTGAGTTATATCTTTATAATACTTTTTTTCTCTAAATTATTTAAGTGATTGTTTTTCTCTTAAAATGTTAAATAGACATATTTACCCTTAAAATAAATATTTCATTTATTTTTCTTTTCAAACAAATTATGACCACGATTTGATTCAAATCGAACAGACACCATAACAACCAAATCGAAATATTCTAATTACAATTTAGAATCGAAACTCGATATCTAGAGTTTATTGAAGACGCGAACCGGAACGGCCGGTTCATGTTCTGAACTAAAAAAAATAAAATACATTTATTGTTGAATTTAGACTATTTTAAAATAAAAAATAAAATTTTATAATAAAGACGGTTCAAAATCGCGAACCGGATCTGAAACTGCTGGTTCACGGTTCAGGAGCTAGTTTTTTTTTTTTTATTCATAATTTTAATAAACTGAAATCCAAATATTGGATTCTGGATCTGAATCATAACCGAAAACTTTCAATTTAATTTCTATAGTGTCCAGTTCAGTTCGAACCGAACTGTGGTCATCCCTATGTATAAGCAATAATTTGTTGGAGAAGAAAAATAAATAAAATGTCTACTTTAAAGGTAGAGATGTCAATTTAATATATTAAGGGGGAGAAACCGTCACTTTTAAAATAATTGAGAGGACTAATGTGCTTACATAAATAATTCAGAGGAAAAAGTGTTATACATATATAATTTAGAGAGAAAAAGTGTCATTTTCCCCTTTTTTTTTTTTTTTTTAAAACACTCAATTTTCGTTATCTAAGGAAATTTAGCTTTTGTCTGTTTTATCCTCTCCATAATATGTGCAGATGCTTCATTCTCAACTCGGAAAAAGCAGTGTTTTCCGTTCTCCCCATTTGTATGGAACTTCTGCTTCATTCCCATTCCATGGCAGCAAAGGTTTCATTGCTTCATCAATACCATCGAAACGGACAGCCAACTCCACCTCAACGACATGGTACTCCGACAAGGAGGAAGAAGAAGCAGCATACGCTTGTGCTCTACGGAAATGCGTGGAGACTTCCAACTTAGGTTACGCGAAAGCAATCCAAGCAAAGCTCTTCAGGACGCCCCGCATGGCTTCCTCTCTGTATCTCCACAACCATGTTCTGAATGCATATGTGAAATGCGGGGACATACGGGGCGGACTCAAACTGTTTGACGATATGCCGGAGAAGAACGTTGTATCTTGGACTGCCCTCATTGCGGGCTTCGTGCAAAAGGGTTTTCCTGTTGAGGCGTTCTCTTTGTTGTTTAGGATGCACAGCAGTGGATTAAAGCCGAATGAGTTCACCTTTGTGAGTGCACTTCATGCGTGTTCATTTGCGGATTCTTTGAGCTTGCTACACTTATGTCAAGTGTATGGTTTGATTGTTAAGTTTGGTTTTGAGTCTAATGTTTATTTAGTGAATGCTTTCTTGACGGGTTTGTTAAGGCATCATAGATTAGAAGAAGCAAAGGAGGTGTTTGAGAATTGTTCAAATAGGGATAATGTGACCTGGAATGCTATGCTGGATGGTTATGTACAGCTTTGCTGCTCAGAATTACCTAGGTTTTGGCTTAGGATGATAAGAAATGGTGTTGAACCTGATAAGTTCACTTTTTCAAGCGTGCTTACCGGATTGGCTGAGCATCCAAACCTTGAAATGGGTGTGCAAGTTCATGCTTGGCTCATAAAGTGTGGCCATGGGAATGAAGTGTGTGTGGGGAACTCTTTGGTGGATATGTATTTGAAGAGTCAAAGATTGAGTGAAGGGTTGAAAGCATTTGAGGAGATACACTTAAAAGACGTGCGCTCCTGGACTCAAATGGCTGCAGGGCTTTTGAATTATGAGAAGCCAAGCTGGGCTGTTCAGGTTGTTGGAATGATGAGAATGGCTGGTGTGAGGCCTAATAAATTCACTCTTGCAACTGCGTTTAACGCATGTGCCAATCTGGCGTATTTGAAAGAGGGGGAGAAGCTTCATGGGTTGAGGATCAAACTGGAATATGATATTGATGTTTGTGTGGATAATGCCTTGCTTGACATGTATGCAAAATGTGGGTTCATGGATGGTGCTTTCATGGTTTTTAAATCAATGAATGAACGCACCATTGTTTCATGGACAGCAATGATAGCAGGGTATGCACAAAATGGATGCCCAAAAGAAGCCCTTGAAATCTTCCATGAAATGAGGAGCAGAGGGGTGGAGCCTAATGTTATTACCTTAATATGTGTGCTTTATGCTTGTAGCCAAGGGGGGCTTATTGATGAAGGGTGGAGTATTTTCTCTTCAATGAACCGTGAATATGGTATTGTTCCTATACAAGATCATTATGCATGTATGGTGAATCTCCTTGGCCGTGCTGGGCGTATCAAGGAAGCTGAGGAATTAATTCTGGGGATGCCATATCAACCAGGTTTGTTGGTCTGGCAAACCTTGCTTGGGGCATGTGTGCTTCATGGGGATACAGAAACTGCTAAGCGAGCTGCAGAGAAAGCGTTAAGTATTAACAAAAACGATCCTGCAACGTATGTATTGTTGTCAAACACATTTGCTAGTTTGCACCATTGGGAAAACGTGGGAAATCTGAGAGAAATCATGGAGAGTAGGGATGTTAAGAAAATCCCTGGTTCTAGTTGGCTTGAAATAAACAGAGGGAAATCGCTACTTGAAGCACTTGGAGAATATGCATAAAGAGAAATTGAGAATGATGGAATGTTTTAGCACCATAGTAGTCTTCTCACTGCTGATAACTCAAATGAAAGTTCCCTTGTACAATAGAATGGCAGTGAAAGTGTGAGCATGCAATCCATTCCACCAAGATTGAACTTGCTGTGTCTTCAATGTATATTAATGGATAGTACATGGATTTTCCTCCCTTTCATGGTTGTAGAAAATGTATCATGTTGCCCACATGAGCAGCTCAACTGGCCACAGAGGTGAAAATTTGTCACAAGAGAACAAGGATCGAGTCTCAGCAGGGACACTGTGGGAGCACAATCTCTCAAAATAAGAAGGGCTCTTTGTGCACAGTGAGTAAAAGTCTAGTATCTTTTAAGTCGGTTGAGTCACCATGATTTATCCCTTTACAAACTGCTGGGCCAGAGTGTGTGGGTGTCTGAGGTGGGTGATTACACCTTTTGTCACAAGAAAAGGTATCACGTCAGATGGTCTTTAATGAAGGAAAGAGAACAAACAATTAAAGAAGTAGAACTTTCAATATTTGTGATGCAAAGTATTCTTTTAGTAGACTCAAAGGTTCTTTCAATCTTTCTTAACCTAGCAGTCCTAGCTGTAAGGATGGGACTATAATATTGAAAGAAAAGTATAGAACTTAAACTTGAAGGGAAAAGAAGATAGGAATTACTAGCCTTAGACTCAAGTTGGACTGGAGTGAAGATTTTATTTCTTCGTGCAGTCATGTAATACTTTTTCTCTTATGTGCAATTAAGAAGCCACTTCTTGCTAGTCTCAGGCTGTAAAGTATAAAGGCTATGACAATCAACCATTTTGTGTGGTTATCAGCAGTGCTACACTCGTTGTGGGCAAATTATTGTGTGGATCATGGTTCAAAATGACGTTATTAGAATTTTATAAGTTAGAATAATATATATTATGAATAAGAATAATGTACTTTATGTGTTAGAATAATGTACTTTGTGTTAGAATAATGTGCATTATGTGTTAAAATAATAAAACTTCTGGGATAAGATAATATACTTTGTGTTAGAATAATGTGCATTGAAATTATTGTGCTCCTTGGACGGACTTGGATTGTTTGAAAAAAATCTTGTGAAAGTACGTACGATCCATAGGCTTGTCTTGATTAGGGGTGTACAAACTTCGGTAAATTTTCGATTAACCGATCGAACCGACAAAGTTCGGTTAACCATTTTGTAACCGAACTTTTTCAGTTTAGTTAATGGTTAAAGGTTTTTTAAAATTTCGGTTAACGGTTAATTCGGTTCGAAATTGTCGGTTAATCGAAATTATATATATATATATATATATATATATATATATATATATATATATATATATATATATATATATATATATATATATATATATATATACACACGTGCGGTTGAATGCTTCCCGTGTGGATGTGCAGTGGATTAATGTGCGTGAGATTTGTACTTAATGTGTGTGAGTGTTGTGCTTAATGTGTCTGAGATTTGTACTTAATGTGCGTGAATGTGTAAAATGCAGCAGAAATTATTGATGTCAGTTTCTTCCCCGTCCCCAGTAGCCATTACCCCCTCCCTGATGATGATGATGCGGAGGCGGGCTATGGTGATTAAGAATTATGGGAAGAATACAACAGAAATCCACACTTAGCTGCTGTGCAAATTTTACTGTGCGTGCGTCATCTATATAAACATTCAACTGCACTGAAGGTAGCTGATAATCTAGAATCCATGGCCAAATTGAAGGAAGAAGTAACAAGAAGCTTGGACGTTAATGTGCGTGAGTTTCTGTTCTGCTTCCTTCTGAGCTCGTAATTCTGAAATACTCACGCACATTAAGCACAAATCTCACGCACATTAAGCACAAATCTCACGCACATTAAACACAATACTCAGACACATTAAGTACAAAACTCACGCATATTAACATGATGCACATTAAGTACAAATTTCAGACACATTGAGTACAAATCTCACGCAAATTAAATATAAACCTCACGCACATTAATCCTCCGCACAATTGCACGGGAAGCCACAAATGCACCTGATCCCTTCCCTATATATATATATATATATATATATATATATATATATATATATATATATATATATATATATATATATATATATATATATATATATATATATATATATATATATATATATATATATATATATAAGAGCCCAAGAAAGTTAGGCCTATAATGGGTATAAGTCAAATTTTTAATCAAATGAATGACTCAGATTGATCAAATTTTAATTTTTCCTTAAGATTTCCTAATTTATCCTCAATGAATATGATTATCTGTTAATTTTTCCGTTAAATATTATCTTTTCCGTTAATTTCTGTTAATTCACCGTTAACTTTCTCATTGATTTCAATAAGAAAAGGTCTTAGGTTCGAACCTCATCCCAATCAAAGTTAGCATAGTATCATTGATTTCAATAGAAAATGTCTTAGGTTCGAACCTCATTCTAATCAAAGTTGGCATAGTTAGTACTCTATTTTACTCTTATTAAATTAAAATAATAATTTAATAGCTACAACAAAAAATAATACATATAAATTTCTTTAATTTAGAATTATGTGTCTACAATGTCTTTATTCAAAAAAAATTATTCATTATCAATAAATTAAATAAGAGAAATAATTTCATTAGTTATATTGTCTTTATTTTTCACCAATATAAAAATTATTTACATTCAAATTCATCAATTGATTATACATGCTACATTGTCCGTACAATGTCTTTATTAAAATTTTTTTTATTCATTATCAATAAATTAATTGGGCACTATCTCAAAAAACTAGTAAATTAATAAGTATGTTAAAAATAATAAATAGTTAGCGGAATATTCCGTTACTAAAGTTTATACTAATGGAATTTAGAGTTATTTAAAGGAAAAAAAATAGTATAATAAAGGGTAAATAAAGAAAATTATTAAAAATATTAAAATCAAAATAATATGAACCATTCATTTTAAGAAACAACTACAACTGACATTTTTTTGTTCCAGTTAAGGGTCTAACATTATTGACTCTTATTAGATTTGTACTAGTAATCACACTCGCTTTGCGCGATTAGACCAATGCCCAATATATATTGTTAATGTAGTGTTCCTTAATTGGTTAAAGTATTCATCATATAATAATAAGAAAAATGTTAAATTAATAAAAGATAAACAAATAATCTCAGTGCTTATATTTTTATAAAAGATAAAGAAATTGTCAATAACTAAATTATAACTAAAGTAAAAACAAATAAATCACTAACTAAAACTGAATGCTAAAATCCTATTAAGATTTCAATATTCTAATTTTAAGTTAGAATTCTATAAACATTTGTATTCTAAAAATCTATTAAGACTTCAATATTCTAATTCTAATTACGGAGTATAAATTAGAATTCTATAAAGATTTGTATTGTATTCTAAGACTTCAATATTTTCTAATTGTTAATATTCCTATATTTTCAATTGATGAGATATTATTTATAATCTTTTACTCAATAAGAGTGATGGTATGATTGATTAAAATTTTTATTATGAATATTTTTGCAGTATATCTAAACATCTTTATATAGTATGAGCTGAAATCAAGGTTGGTCCTACACCACTAAAATAATTGTAAACAAAAGGGGAAACAAACTGTGACTTGGAAATTGTATAAATTACAACAACTGCACTATAGCCGGCTTGATGTATTGCCTACCACTTATCGCTCCTATGAGTTGAACTTGTTCCAAGCTTCCTATAAAAATCAAGAATAAAATTAGAAGGGATATAATCAGGGAGCCTTTTGCCAACAGAACATAGCATCATGCAATGTGGTGTAGAAAACTAAGACTCGGACATCTAAACATACCTTTAGAAGATTAAAGGCCTTTTGCATATTTTTTTTAAAAGACCTTTTTGCATATATACTTTTGCTGAATGGTTGCACCCCGTTGCTGTAATTTGTCGGGGTGGATGGACGCACAGAGTGGCTTTCCTGTAAGCTTTCTTTACAACTGCAGAAGTTAGGACTTCTATTAAAGGAACTTGATGCCAACTGCTATCAGGCCAAAGAATCTATCAACAACTTAATCTAGCCTTCATAGGAAGCAAGCACAAGGAATCATGGACGAAACCCAAGTCACTTTTCTACAACAACATCAAATATAGACAACTATATAGCTAGCTAACTTGAGTGCAAGATTCACTTGCAAAGACAACAAAAATACTAATGTTCTTACATCCTTTGATACATTAGGTTCATTGATTTGAAAGTAATAAAAAAATATCTATACTGTTGAGGGATCCTTAAGGATTTGCTTCCAAGCAGACTGTATCTATGAAGTATTTAATTAGGAACAATAGATAACAACTCCAAATGTATGTAAAGGAGCTAAATTACTATTAGGAAATGCTAAAGATATGTACCTGAATATTGCTAAAATCTTCTAAACTTTCATAACTATTGTCCCCATAAAATCAAAAGATTAACATTTGAGAGACAATGCAATTGCTAGTTCTTGTAACTTGCCACCAACTGCATGTCTGTATCGTCAACAATGGAGGCAAGTATTTAAAACAAATTGCGATGAAGAGCATATGTATTAAACTCATAAAAAGCAAGCATTGCAATTCTGAAAAAGGTATTGACATTCTACCATCATTCTTAATTCAGTTGTGACAGTGAAGTAAGGGATATTTGAAATATTTGAAGAAGTGATTGGTCTAGAAACGAGCAAGCTACCCTACGATCCTTCCCCTTTTAATTCAGACCTGTGTAAAGAAAGATATTAAACAGTAGGAACATATATGAAATTAATGTTTTATTGAATACTAAACAACAGGATCTTAATGCATGTTCTGACAATAAGGATATTGGAGTTAGTCATATATTAAAGTATGACTGATATACTGAATTTATAAGAGAATAGAAGTTCTTACTCAAAGTTCAAAACCCCAAATACTACTGTATACACTAAGGGCCAACCAAGATTTGATAAAGAGATATTATATCCATCTCTGCTTCAAAGACAAACATACTTATAACAGTAGGTATGAAAAAGCCAAACTGCTGTATAGAACAATGAAACCAATCAAACCCGTTTTTGGCCCATTTCCCTTATAGTTGCTGAGTTCATTGAAATACATTTATAGCACCCCAAAAAACACACATAAATGGAAGCAACATATGCCAAACTCTAACATAATTCTTACTAATTCCAAACTTACTAATGCTCACAGAAGATACAGGAAAGCATTCACTTCGGTCCAAGCTAAGAGATAACAACAGAACCCAATGAACTTACCAAAGTTTCGATCTCTGTTAAGGAGGACGCCAGTTGCGCTGCTATACGAAGGATAACACCGGCGGTGGAGGACCGGTGACCTCCTGCTGCACTAGAGAGAGAACGCCGGCGGTGGAAGAACGGTAGTCGAGACAATTCCCTAATTTCTTTGAAGAAGAGCTGCAGTTACCAAGTGCCATCGAGACAGTTCCCTAATTTCTTTGAACAAGAGCTGCAATTACAAAGTGCCATCCAATTTCAGTAAAACTACAAAATTACCACCGCCCCTTCAACTTAACACTCTTTGTTAAATTTAGCAGTAATAATTTGGTAAACTTGAGAAGAATGAGGATAATTTTGGGATTTAATTAGACGTTGTATAATAAAAATAACACAAGGTACAATCTTGTATAACATACTGTTATACTGACATATTTTTAGTTTCGGTTAAGGCCTAACATTATTGACTCTTATTAAAATTGTAGATTGTAATTGTAGATGTAGATATGTATTTGTAGCAATCGTTATACCATGCACCAGGGTTCACATAGCATTATGCGCCTCGCGCCTCCCAAAACGACGTTGTTTTGTTAAGTTGTTAAAAAAAATCTTCTGTTTCGAATGCACATAAACTCATAACAGAATACACATAAACTCATAACAAAATACACATAATCTACATAATACATAATACACATAAACTTTTAGCTGAATACACATAATGGGGTTTGGTTAACATAATACACATAAACTCTTACTGAATACACATAAACTCATTACACAATACACATAAACTTTTGACTGAATACACAAAATGGGATTTGGTTAACATAATACACATAAACTCTTAACTGAATACACATAAACTCATAACACAATACACATAAATTTTTAAATGAATACACATAATAGGGTTTGGTCTGTTCCGATGGACGGAGTGATGTCAGCATGACGTCAACATGAAACGCGCGCATTTTGTACCTAAACCCACATTGCTATATACGCCGTGGTGCACGATATAAATTGCCATATTTGTAGATATGCCTCTTATTTTTGGGCCTTCCTTCTATGCATGCTAATTCTCATCTTAATCTTTTGAGTTAGATTTTATTGGGCTAGCTCAATTGAATACGGAGTATATTCTATAATGAATATTATATGAGAGTCAATTTTTTTTTCTAAGAAATAAATTATTTACTAAAATAGAAAAAAAAAAAAAGAATTAGCAATAACACATTGAATTTATATTGAATGTACCTCATTGAGGTTATTTATTTTTTTCCATTGAGTAAAGTATTGTCAGGATGGGAAAAAAAATGTCAATTTTCTTTTAAAATAAATCAAAAATAAAAATGTAAATGATTTATAACATAAAAATAAAAGGAATAAGAATATAATTTTAAAAGAACTATAATAAATAGAGAATTGACATAATATTGAGAAAAAATGATTAAATAAACTCCTAAGTAGAAGAGTAAATAGTGTAATTGAGCTCTCAAAAACTAGTAAAAAAGTGAACTTAAACTCAATGGTAAAGAGGAAATTTCAATTTTGGTCATATGACTATAGGGGTCTTGTTAATTTTACTCTCTGACTTTTAAAAGTGTCACTTTAGTACCTTAACTATGCAATTTTTGTCAATTTTGGTCACTCCGGCGAAATTGCCGGTCAACTGCCAAAAAATTTTAATTGTTAAAATAATGAGGGTATTTTGATCATTTCACGTCTCTTTTCTTCTTCCCAAGCGAGTTTATCCCTTCCTCTCTCGTTTCCGGCAAATGCAATGAACTAAGATGATGGGGAAAGGAGGCTTGATGATATTAAAGATAGGGTTTACAGGGAGAAAGAACGCTGAAAGCGAAGAGAAAGGGATGAACTCGCCGGAGAAGAAGAAAAGAGGCGTTCTCACCTAAATGGCATCCTCTCTCTCTCTATATATATATATATATATATATATATATATATATATATATATATATCAAAAGCCCTTATTTAACTATTATTAACAAACTTTATTCAACCATATATATGTGTGTACTAAAACTTAGTATCATGGTCTAAATTCAACAATTGTATGTGTAGGAACCGTTGGTAGGAAAACAAATAATAATCAAATAAAAATGACTATTATTTTCTGGAAAGAAGGGAAGAAGAGATGAAGGAAAAAGACTAGTGTTTGGTGTTGGGTTTTTGCAAGAGTCGAGTGAGCACTCTTTCCTTAAAACCGTATTTGCCACCTCCCAAAGATGCTAGGAGCGTTGTGGCCTAGGCTTCCCATGATAAAACTTGCTAGTGATTCAATGTTTGAGCACTCAAACAAGGAATCCGGCGAGCAAGACACGGCTATGAACACAGTATAGCTTAAAGAAAGAGTAGAAGCAGAGAGGTTTTGAGGCTAAAAGATGAACTTTCGTGTTCTATATTTTCTGTGTAAAACTCTACTGCCCAACTCCTCTTTATATAGGGGTGAAGGATTTAATAGCTTTTAATTAGGCACTTAAGGGCACCCCTTCACCTTCCTGTAACAGCAGCATTAGCATGGCCTTCAATTCAAAATTTAAAATTGGAATTAACTCAGAAAATTAATTCCGTAACAGTAGAATTGAAGAGCCAACGGTCAGAAAACTGCACAGGTTCGTGTAGGCCGAAACTTCCAGTTTCGACCCCAGGCCGAAACTTCCCATTGGGCCCTTTCAAGTCTCGGCCCGCAAGGCCGAGACTTCAGGCCGAAACTTCCAGTTTCGACCCCAGGCCGAAACTTCCCATTGGGACCTTTCAAGTCTCGGCCCGCAAGGCCGAGACTTCAGGTTCGGCCAGAGGCCGAAACCGCATGTTTCACTGGTTTCGGCCACCACAAGGCCGAAACCAAGGTGTGGCCGAAACTACCTACTGGTTTCGGCCACAAGGCCGAACCATGGTGTAGTTTCGGCTACATCTTACAGTGGCGTGTTGGAAAATGACAGCCCGTTTGGCATAACTTAGCCTGCAAGGCCGGGTTTGAATCAAGCCTTTTCAATCTCTGCTAGTTGGAATTTGATTTACACCCCCCTCTCCCCCGCGAGAGAGCCTCTAAGCTATACAATTCTACAAGTTTCAAAAGAGCTCTTGTATATAAGGAGGGAAAATCTTCATTCCAAAGCAATGTGGGACAAAAGCTCACTTTTTCCCTTCATTTTCCAACTCAAATGGGTCTACTTTGAGAATCAATATCTCATTCACCCATTATCCGTTTTGAGCGTACAATATATCGATCTCTTCGTCTCACTACGAAGAATCCGAATCCACTTTAACCCGACCCAAATTGGAAGTGCACCCCACTGATAATTGTACCACAAAATAGCCACTTAACATGCCATTTTAAGCTATTTTTTCCAACAGTACGTCCTGGCCTAGTGTTATTAAGCATAGCAACACATACATATAATTCAACTAGCTTTGAAAATTGTACGTGAACATTCAATTCGACAATAATACATAAAAACATGATAATTGAAGCTAAGATTTATTTAGATTTGATTAGCGAGTCCACTTGGGATTTTCCATGAAGACCTTTTGTTCTGATGAAAGCCCTGTACTGATTGAATGTCATTGGAGAATACATTGCAGGTTTGTCCTTGCTAATAGCTTCTTCTAGAGGCTTCACCACCACATCTCCACCTGGGTTGTAGAACAGAGCCATTGACAACCTTTCCTTCTCCGAGTTCACCATCACTCTATGCTCAACGCTCTTATATATTCCATTACTCATCACCTGTCCATCCGGCTCAAATCAAGAAGGTCAATATACTCATTTTATTATATTATTAAGAGTCAAACTTAAAACTAAAGTTACTGAACCAATTACTCGACTAATTTAGTCGGGCTTGTTTAATATAATGCATTTTAATATTCAACACGTGTATACATATATAAGTAACAAAAAAAAAATAGTGGCTTCAATTGAGGACATACAATAATTAGGTTGGTCGCTGTTATTATTGTAGTTGTCATCTAACAAGGCGTTTGGTTGGAGAGGGGGAATTACATGGGAAAGGAATTGTGATTCCATGGGAGATGAATTACTGGGAATAAAATGGGAATTTAAATTCTAGTGTTTGGTTTACAAGAATAAAATTACTGGGAATTTCAATTCCAATGTTTGGTATACATGAGAATTGAAAGGGAATAAGTAGTATAAAGTCCAAAATGTCCATTGTTATTATCGGACATTAATTTTAGGTTAAAAAGGGAAGGGGTAATTTTGACTCATCGCTATCGTTTTTTCTTCCTAAAATCCCAGGAATTAAAATACTGGGGAGACATGGGATTTTAATTCCATGAAAATGGGGAAATTGCAATTCCATGGAAGGTGTAATTCCTTTCAACCAAACAAGGAAATTTTGTGGCCTTTGAAATTAGGTGGGAATTAAATGGGAAGAGAATTTAAATTCCCTTCAACCAAACGCCCTGTAAAAGATAGATAGGTATATACCTGAATTTGATCACCCATGTTGATAATGAATGCGTTGGGGAGTGGCTTAACTGTTATCCATTTGTGATGGTGGAAGACTTGGAGGCCAGCCACGTTAGGATCAGCGAGGAGAAATGTCAATCCACCAGGGTCAGAATGGGAAGAGAGACCCAGCGCAAGGTCTGGTTGAGGGCATTTCGGATAAAAATTTACCCTTAAGCATACCCCTCTCTCTTCATACCCACCAAAAGCTTCATGAATCCTATCCTCTTTCAGTCCCAAGTTCACTAACAATATCCTTGTCAGCTTCTCTCCCAGATTCGCCACATCTTCACAATATTTTGCTATCAATTCCCTTCATATCCAAATTCAAATAAAAATTAGTTTAATTTAGATATATGATCTATAAATTCAGCATATACATGCACACATGCATATTAATTAGAGACATATACTGTTGGAGGATAAAAATAAAACTCCACTCTCAAGAATAGCATAGGGCATAGGGCTTTATTGTTTTTTCCTTTCCTAATCTTTCTATTCAATGCCTTCATCTTCCCTTTTATAAACCAACGTGTAAGCTGACTTGTGGACTGAAATAATACAATCTTCTTCTTCTTCAATCTGCTTTCTCTTCTCTCATTCATTCATGTAGTCATTTCCGACATGGTATCAGAGCGGCGAGGCAGCTATGCCGCTGCTGCTATCGGCGCCGGATAACCGAATCAAAGAAAGGCTCATCCGACGACGTCGATTGCTCAATC